ACATACACATACATACATACATACATACATACATACATACATACATACATACATACATACATACATACATACATACATACACACATACACATTTATACATTATTATCAACTCTTTTCAAAATAATTTTATTTAGTAAAAAATGGCTCTAAGCTAATGGCAATTGAGTTCAATGTGCTTTAGAGGTCAACGAATTGAAAAAATGCTTGTACGTGCGTGTATGTGTGTTTGTGTGTATGTGTAAATCTATGTATGTGTAAATCTATGTATGTGTGTGTGTGTGTGTGTGCGTGTGTTTGCTACAACTATACAACTACGACCACCGATTACGATGGTGTTGTTGATATTGTTACACAGTTGTTGTTGTTGTTGCAGTTGTTGTTTGTTGCTCCAGTTGTTGCTGTCAACTTTAGCCGCAGCTGTTATCGGGTTTCACTTTGCCTCGCGAGCCCTGGGCGCCATCGAAATGAGAATTAATAATAATTACTGAATACTCAATACTCTATTGTAATGTAATTATTATAGTATGTTGGCCATCCTAACACTTGGTATACTTATGGTACTGATGGTATTAATGGCGCTTTCAAAAGTTATCTGGGTCAGACCTGATAAAATTAACTGAAAATAATTTAAAATTAGGCGGAATTTGGAATGTATCAAAGTGACATTTTTAAACTGCAACTGCATTTTCAAATTGTTTTCGGATTATTTACCGCAGATATCTTGTATTTCTGAGCAAAAACTCACGTGCCATATCGTTAATTCTAACACCACAATATTTTTAACAATAATATTCATAACAATTACAATGAATATAATAGTATAATAATATTCATAATAACAATAATAACAATGATAATAATAAATATAATAATAAATATAATAATTTGCTAGCAGTAGGAGTCTGAGTATTAGTAGTCGGTAGTGACTTACATGGATGACTTATTGATTGATAAATTAGTGCCACGTCACCATCAATCATCATTATTATTATTATTATTATTTATATAATTATTATTATTATAATTATTAATTATATTATTATTTTAATTATATAAGATAAATATACCGATGTGTCATTGATCCATAATAATAATAATTTAGCGATTATTTCATGTTATATTTAACTTCATCGATATCGTTGCAGATATTCTTTTACCGCCATTCATACTATTACCACTAGTACTACTACTACTACTACTACTACTACTACTACTACTACTACTACTACTACTACTACTACTGCTACTACTACTACTACTACCACTACTACTACTAGTCTACTAGTACGACGACGACGACTACTAGGAATGCGATTACTACTACTAATACATTTACTACAACAGAAGGACAGATGAATGAATGAATGAATGAACGAACGAACGAATGAATGAACGAATGAACAAATGAATAATTGAATGGACGAAGGTGCAATAATTTAATAGGCTAGTTCTTTTGGCTGATTGGTTGACATGGGGGTGCATTTCAGGTGAATGATTAAAAGTGAAATTAAATTTTTTTCAATGGAATAAAGAGGGAGAAGAATGATTAAAAAACAAAGATGAACGAATGAAAACAGCTAATAGAAAATGAATGACAATGAATGAAGGAATGAATGGTGAGTGATCGAACGTACAAAAGATGATTTAATGATTGTAAGATGAATGGATGGACGATTAATTGAATGAACATGCGTATTAATGAATGAATGAACGATTGAATGAAAAAAAGTAATGAATGTTTGACTGAATAAATGAAAGAATAGCCAGTGAAAGTTGGAAGTAAACGTTTGTTAAGAATTTGCAAGGGGAACAATGACTGACATTATGAAGCAACTCACTGATGCATTGTATTAAAGCAATTTTCTATTCAACTCGGCTCAAAGGTCGAATTCAATAGGATCTGTCAGATTGTTGTTGTCGTCGTCGTTTTTGTTGTTGGGCTTCGTTGTTTAAGGCCATGTTGTTGTTTATAAAGTGATTGTGTTGTTGTTGTTGCTGATGCAACGTTGTTGGTTATTTGTTGGCTCTGCTTTGATGTTGATGCAGGAAGGATGCAGCGGTTGTTATGTGGTTGTGTTGGATGCTGTAGTCGTTATGTGGTTGTGTTGGATGCTGTAGTCGTTATGTGGTTGTGTTGGATGCTGTAGTCGTTATGTGGTTGTGTTGGATGCTGTAGTCGTTATGTGGTTGTGTTGGATGCTGTAGTCGTTATGTGGTTGTGTTGGATGCAGCGGTTGTTTTGTGGTTGTGTTAGTTGCTAATGTTTCTTTGCTGCCATCTTATTGACATTTTGTTCCGATGGTTTTGTTTTTGCTGTGCAGTGCCGTTCCTCTCCGCCGTCGACGTGTTGGAAGTTAGAGAAACAGGTTGGAATCGAAATTTAGCTGGTATCACTTTAGCGGAACAACCCTAACCTAGAAGCAGCGATGTCTTACCATCAATTATATCACTCTTCAAAGACACGAGGCACACATGAACCCCCATCCCAGGTGGCATATATAAGCATTTGAACCCGGGAACGGCATTATCAGGGCCAGCTACCTTAATTATTGCGCTAACTTGAAAACAAAATAAAAAAATCATCTGCCAAGTCAAAACTGACAAAATAATTGGTTCCGCTGGGTTTCGAACCCAGGACCTTTCGCGTGTGAGGCGAACGTGATAACCACTACACTACGGAACCCACTTGTTAAACGTTGCTCAGCATATCTTGTTATACTAGTGACAGAATTTTACTTGAAAGCTTATTAATTTTATGACTGCCAAAAACTGCTATAAAATTGTTGAATGTTGTTGGAAAATTTTTTTTTATTTCATTGTTTAAAAATTGAATTACAAGCAATAAAATTTGTGGAGTTCAAAGAAAAATTTTTTTTTGTATAAATAAAATGCTTTTTTCACATATACCAATAAAATTTTTCCAAAATCATTCAAAATTAAAACATATTCAAGTTCATTTCACATTTTCTAAGTTAGAATCTCACAAAGTTCCTTATAAACATGCCTATACTGTGTTTCAGATCAAGAAATTAAAAAGCTAAAAAAAACCATCCCTGAACGGAAATGATGTTTTAGCTAAAAATAGCAAGCACCAATAAACATCAACAATAACATTCACTTTCCTAATCAAACATTTTCTTCAAAGTATTTTTATTTAATTTTTTCTATTAAAATTTTATTAAATTTTATTTAATTAAAATTACAATCAAATATTTATAACTAAGTTGAATTTCTAGTAAAAATTCAAAGGATCATTATTTTGATACCTCATAAAAAGACTAAAAGTTAATTTAAGTTTAAATTTAAAATCTCGTCAAGATGACGACTCCTGCTAAAAGACGCCTTCTCAGAGACTTCAAAAGGTTGTAAATTTAAATTTAATCGGTAATCACGCTGTAATTGTAATTTGTAAATAATATTACGTTGTAATTTTGTATCTACGTATTTTGTAATTACGTCTTATAATAAATAATATTAACAATAGGATAGTTGTGTATATTTTTGAAAATTTGTTTTTATCATTTTTAATTTGCATGTTTAACATTCATTTACATTTCATCCATTTTTATAGTAAGAAAATCATGGTTACATTTAAAAATGTCTTTAAATTTAAATCAGAATTAAATTATTCGTTCAGTTTAGTTTACTGTTTTTAGTGTTTCTTTATTATTATAAAATATAAAACATTTATCTGATATACTATATAAAAGATATAGATAGTATAGTATATTATATCACCATAAATTGTTTTAAAAGAGAAGGAAGATGAGGTGGTTAGTTTAGTAAACAATGATGATTCATTCCAACACAATTCATACCTACACATAAGCTATAAGACAAAAGAGCACCAATTGGAATGATATTGCACCATCTTTGTGCCGTACAATACATGATGATGAAGTAAGCTATAAAAACAGTTAGTAAGTAAGAAGATAAAAATATGTAAGATGTCTTTAATATTATTTAATATTTAAAATATTTACTTTAATACTAAATCTAATACTAATAAATACTTTAATATTAAAAATATGTAAGATGTCTTTAATATCAAGTTATTTGTTAAATAAAACTACCCAGTTAACTGATTGTGAGGTTTATATGGCATGCTGTATGTGTAGTTATTCATTGCTATATTAACAATTGTCGGCTTGCCAGCTATTGAAATAAATTTTTACCAGGAAGAAATTATAATAAAGAAAAAACATCCTTTCACATCATATCATGTCATGATGTAATAATAATTATTATTTTTTTTATTGTTTAAAAAATAATTTTAGAACGTTTCGAGATGTTTTATTATCATCATACTGTATTTTGAAGAAGTGTATAGTGGCTTTTAGAATTTATGGTACTGCCTGTTATAAATGTCAACAGATAAGGATAGCAGCTATAAAAGCTGGCCATGTACAAATGCCTTTTTTCAATTTTCACCACAACATGTCCTTACTCATTTCAAATCAGTTCCGGACAAATTCACTATTAATATTATTACATTTTAAAATATTTCATCCAATGTTCATAAAATAATGCCTGATTTATTACAAAATAATTATTCAATTACTGAAGAAAAAATAAAAATAAAACATTCTTTTCTATTAATATTCTGCTAAAACTCATTTTTCCATTTAAAATTGTTTTTTTCTTGGTCTGAATTAACATGTCCTTCAGTGTGAGAACACACTGAAGGAAGGCTGAATAAACGTGACTAAGTGACAGGCAAGATTACATCATAATTTACATTACATGCAAATACATTACAAAATTAAACCACAGTTCTTATGTGACTGAGTCGAATTGACAAACATAAAGGAAGAATAAAACTAATTCTTAATTTATCATTTTGTTAGTTTATTAATTTGCTATGGCGTCTAATTTATTATATTATTCAATTAATTTATTGATCAACTATGACATCATCACTGTTGTATAGACTGCAAGAGGACCCGCCATCTGGTGTCAGCGGTGCTCCCAGTGAGAACAACATCATGCTCTGGAATGCTGTCATATTTGGGTATGGGTATGGGTATGGGTATGCTTGTATTTTGTATTGAGTTGTGGAGTATCTTTTGTATGATATTTTTATTGCTTCATCTTAACTAAATTGTGTTGTGTTGTATTCTCTCATTTGCTCACCAACCATTCATCCAATCATTCATTTATTCAATCTTTCACGCATGCACTCATTTATTCATTCATTCTCTCACTCTTTGACGCAGTCCCCAGGACACACCTTTTGAAGATGGGACTTTCAAGCTGACGCTGGAGTTCACAGAAGAGTACCCCAACAAACCACCAGTTGTCAGATTCACCTCCAAGATGTTTCATCCTAATGGTCAGCTTCTGTTTGTCTGTGTGTGTGTGTGTCTGGTGTGTGCGTGTGTGGTGCGTGTTTAGTCTGTCTAGTGTGTGTTTCTCCCCGTGTGGCATGTATTGGTGTTTGTATATGTGTGTTTTTGTATTTTTGTTTGTAGAGGCTGTGGGTATCTAAAGATGTGTGATTGTGTCTGTCTGTGTGTTTGTACTTTTTTGACTGTATGTGAGTACTGTACATGTTTGGATGTTTTTGTAAGTGTGTAGAAGTGTGTGCATGAAAGTTAACAAAAATGAATGCTAGCATTTTGTTTGTGATTTTGAAGTGTGGTTTGATGAGATGTGTGTCTATGTGTGTGCGCGTGTGTGTGAGTCTGTGTTAATTGCTTTGATTTTATCTATAAGCTTTTATTTATTTACATTAGCATGTTATCTCTCTCTTTCTCTTTTTTCCTCCTCTCTTTGTAGATGCTTTACTGCTACTACTTTCATTGTTGCTGGTTGGTTTCTTTCATTCTTCTCCTTCTATTTATGTAGCCCTTGAAATGACGTCATTGTCGTCATCTTTGCGTCATATATTTGTCATTTTTCTTTAGTTGTAATTTTTCCTTTACAAAGTAAAATGATGACCTCATACTTACTGATTGGTAGTGATAGTGAAATGGTGGTGATGATTACGACTTATGATTGATAGTAATGGTTGTTATGATGATGGTGAAGATGATACAATTGACATTGAGGATGGTGATGCTACTGATGATGATGTGCCTGATAATGATAGTATCAATGTAATCATAATGAGATTATGAGGATGATATGCATGGCTGTAATGCTGATAATGATGTTATCGATAATGAGGATGATCTTGGTGGTTTTGGGTTTTTTTGGATAATTTTGGATATTTTTGCAAATTTTTTTTGTAAACTTCCACCACCAACTCCACCGTCTAGTATACGCAGACGGTAGCATATGTCTAGACATCCTACAGACCAGATGGAGTCCTACCTACGATGTCTCAGCCATACTCACTTCTATACAAGTCTGTATCTCCATTCTATTCACATCACCATATCATCATTCATCATCATCTGTTGCATATTTTTCTATCATCTTATCATATCATTTAGTCGCTTGTAATTAAATGGTTTGTATGTGTTGATTGGGATGGAGAGAGCAGGTGGAGAAGGACAGGGTGAAAGCGGGGTTGCGTGATACTGAGGCGAGTGACATTTGTGATGGCGTCGAGGGGTATTTCGGTTTCATCATAGGTAGCCAAACGGCAACCCCCGATCTCGGGGAAAATGTCGTGTGTTGTTGTGTTGTATATTATAATATATTATATTATAATTATATATTATTATTATATATATTATTAATTATAATTATTTTCGATTTCCTCCTTCCTTCCCTTAACCAATGTGAATGACGGAATTGTTGCAAATCCATGTGATGTTGGACCACGTTTTTACACTTCATCATGTCTGGCATTCAATCTGCCTCACTGTGTCCATCATGTCTGGATTCATTACATCTGTCTGGATTCATCATGCCTGTCTGGATTCATTACATCTTTCTGGATTCATCATGCCTGTCTGGATTCATTATGTCTGTCTGGATTAATCATGTTTGGATTCATCATGCCTGTCTGGATTCATTATGTCTGTCTGGATTAATCATGTCTGGATTTATTATGTGTGGCTGAATTCATCATGCCTGTCTGGTTTTCGTGTCTGCGATTCTATCTGCTTTTTATTGTTATAATACATTTATGTACTTATATATGATTCCATGTTGTTTTTTCGTATATACATATATATGTATGTGTACGCTTGTATGTGTATGCTTATATGTGTGTACGCTTGTATGTGTACGCACGTTTGTGTGTGCGTGCGTGCCTGCTTGCGTGAACAGTCTCTTCTACATGATCCAAATCCGAACAGTCCAGCGAACAACGCGGCAGCCCAGCTGTACAGGGAGAACAGGAGGGAGTATGAGAAGAAGGTGGCCGCTGTCGTCCAGGCCAGCTGGAATGACGATGACGAGTGATGCTGGTGGTCGTGATGTGGTGATGAATGAATGAATGAAGGAAGGAAGGAAGGAAGATGTTGTGTGCTGTTGTGATCAGAAGGTTGATAGTTTGATTGGGGCGATGGGATGATGATTAGGTAATGATGATGGTGATGATAAAAACGTGATTGGTAATGAATGAATGAATGAATAAACAAATGAATGAGTGAATGAATGAACGAACGGAGGAATGAATGAATGAATGCTTGGAAAACGGAAAATGATCATGAACATTAGTGATTTGGACGGAATAAGTATTAATAATATATGATAAGCTTTCGATTGGCATTTTGTGATGTTATTGTAATAATTGTACATAGCATTAGGCAAGTTAAGAGTTCAGTCTGTCTATGTATGTATGTATGTATGTATATATGTGTGTGTGTAGGTAGGTAGGTGTATGTGTAGCTAGGTTTGCATGTGTGTAGGTAGGTGTGTGTGTATTTGTGTGTGTGTGATCGAATTTTTATCATTTTACTGTGCAAACCCGAAACGACGAACAAAAGTTATCATCATCATCATTATAACATGGTTATCTGAGTTGATGATAATAATAATAATAATAATATTCTGTGGTAAATGTTTTTATTTAATTTTTTTTACTTAAATTAACTTTCAACCAGCCGAATGAAAAATCGCTTTTTTTCCTCTAAAATATAATGTGTGTGACATAAACTTTATTACACTATATTCATTAACTTATTAACAATATTTGTTATATATGTGAAAATATTTATTAAATTAAATTTATTAAATTCTTTGATATTTGTGGTCATATATATCTTTTTTTTGTTAAATGAATATGTCGTTACCTTAACCTGTGATCTTTGGTTCGATGGGCTAATAATTTTTGAGTTTTTCTATTATTAAATTAAATTGTATTATTATAATTTTGTTTTTCATTCATCCATTCATTCATGTATTCATTCATGTATTCATTCATTCATTCATTCATTCATTCATTCATTCACATTTTGTCTTCGTAATTTATGGTTACTGATGACCGATATATATGTTTGTGAACTTTTTTATTATTGCTATTATTTGATAATACCTTATTCATAATTTTTTCGTATGCTTAACGAACTATAAAATTTATATTTGGTATGAAGAGATGAATTCACAATCCACAATTTTATTTATTTTGTTTTAATTATTACATAAATTGGTTCAGTCAGTTGGAGTTGTACAATTGTACATACTGATACATCGGTGTGCTCTAGATAGGATGCATATTTATTTCATGTTTTTCAGCGAAATGGATTTTTTTCGGATGTGACGTTATTGAATCGAGTTCGTTTGGCTAGGAAAATAAATAAATGCCTGATCTTTCGATTAATTGATTGATTGACTGATTGGTTGGTTAATTGATTGATTGATTGGTTGATTGATTGATTGTGTAGGATTGGTTGATATAGAGTGTAATTTTATAATTTGTGTTTGTATAGAAACATTTTCGTAAACGATTTTGTTTATAAAAATAAAAAAATTAAAAATTGTTCATCGAATTTTTCTCTACAAATCACAAATTTTTATTATTATTAGCAGAGTTCTCTAGATGTCAACTAGAGCTAGATGCTGCTGATGCAACATTGAATCAGCACAATTGAACAAGCAGATTTCATAAAGAGACCTGTCAAGATTTCGTTTTGTATTTTTTTACATTTCTTTAATGAAATAAGGTTTTTTTTGTGGTTACGATGCAGTGGCGTAACGAGGGGGGGCAGAGGGGGGGACAGTTGTCCCCGGGCGCAGGACTGGGGGGGCACAATATCAGTGACCAAAATATCAGTGACCAAAAAGGTTTTTTTATTATTATTTTGCTTTACCTAGCAATTTCTGTGTCTGTCCTTTAGAACAGGTCAGTCACAGTGCAGTTAAAAGCTTGTATAGATTATGCTCTATAGTCTATAGTATAGTATCTTTGTGGTATAGCTGCATTGGGTTAGTCAGTATAGCTGCCTACAAATATCTGCTATTACCAGTGATGGGCATAGTTTAATTAAATAGTTGCAAACTAATAGTTTAACTACTTTTTTTTAGTTTCCTTCCTAGTTTAACGAAAAAAAATAGTTTAGTTAAAACGATAGTTTAACTAAAATATTTTAGTTGCTAACTAAATAGTTTAACTAAAATATTTTAGATAAATATCTTTTATCCATGTCTTGACTTATGGTTTTTGAATATTAATTTTAATTTGTAAAAAGTTAAGCTTTCCATATTTTTAAAGCAAAGTACATTCAATGTTTTTGGTTTTTACCAATGGAATCTGACAACATCCCGTTACAAAATTGTAGATCTCAATGCTATGACAATGCAGCTGTTATGTCGGGGCATTTATCTGGAGTTCAGCAAAGAATTTGCACAAAAAATAACAAGGCATTGTTTGTGAATTGTGACAATCACAGCTTAAACTTGTCAGGGGTGCATGCTGCAAGTCAAGATCCAATTGTAGTTACTTTTTTTGGCACCATTGAAAAAATTTATCTATTTTCAAGATCAACCCATCGATGGGAAAAACTTAAAGAAGCAGTGACCATCACAGTCAAACGTGAATCAGAAACACGATGGAGTGCTAGAGCAGAATGTGTTAAAGCAATTCATGATGGACTTGATAACATAGTCAGTCTACTGGAAAAAATGTCTGAAGATACAACTGAAACACAAGAAACTAGAGGCGATGCTGTAATTCTGCTACAAAGTATTCTTAGTTTCAACTTCTTAGTTTTCCTTCCTTTCTGGCATGATATACTCAAAAAAATCGACCGTGTTCAGAAAAGACTTCAAGATCCAACAATGAATTTCCATGAAGCGTCTTTGGATATTGAATCTCTACACATGGATATTATAAGAATTCGTGAAGACATATGCAATGATTCAGTGCTAAAAGCAAAGGAAAAATGTGAGCTATGGGGTGTGGCTGTAGAAAGTAGAATCAGGCGACGGAGAAGGATGCCTGGAGAACTTGCCCGAGATGCAGGACTTTCGGCAGAAGAAGAAATTGTTCGTATCATGAAGAGTATTTTAGATCGACTCGAACAGGAGATGACAACAAGGTTTACTCGTCTCAAAGATCTGAACTTCAAATTCGGATTCTTACTTGATGTAGACAAACTTTTGAATGACAAAGATCTTAACAGTCTCCGTCAGCATTGTATTGACTTGGAAATTTTTATGACTCGGATGTTGAAGGAATTGAGTTATTAAATGAAATATGTGACTGCAGAATGCTCCTTGAGACCCGCCAGGATACTGCACCAAAGACTCCTACAGAACTCTTGTCATTCATTATTAGTTACGGAGAAGATGTTTTTCCAAATTTGCGTGTTGCTCTACAAATCCTTCTTACTATAGCTGTCTCGATTGCCAGCTGTGAGCGATCCTTCAGTAAATTAAAAATAATTCTTTCCTATCTTCGAGCATCCATGGGACAAGATAGACTCAGCGATCTGGCCCTAATGAGTGTGGAGAGGGAAGTTCTTGAACAGATTGATTTTGATGGTATAATTAACCAGTTTGCTGCAGTAAAAGCAAGAAAAATAAATTTTCTTTAAAATTCTGCTCATTTCCTAACCACAATTTCTAGACAATACTTAGCTGTTGTTTTGTTTTTAAATTTAATAATTTGTATTTCACACTTCTGACTCAGCGGACAATAAAAATACAGAATTATAAAAACTACTTGAAAGAATCTAATTATATACATCGATCATAATCATTTTTTTTAATCATAATAATTTTTTTTGCCAAATAAATGATTAAATGATTATCATTAATATTTTGTATTACAATATAATAGTTAAGAACTGAGAAAGAATAATACAATTATGGTGTAATGTGCAATATGCATATAGAAACATGAATTCACTGAAATGCATTGTATATAGGCGTCACGGAGTGTAGTTCAAATACTGAGTACGACAGTTATATTTTATATAGTTTGACAGATTTTATGTAGGGGGCGCAAATTTTTTGTTTTGTCCCCGGGCGCAGAAGACCCTAGCTACGCCACTGTTACGATGGGACCTCGTTCTCGATCGATCCAACTTCTACGTCAATTAAGGACTGCCGACCGTTAGATTTAATTTTTAACTTTTGGTCTCCAGGTCAAATATTCAGAAGTTATTTTGTGATAGCTTCTAGCTATTACAAAATAACTGTTTGCTAGCTGGCTACATCAATTAATTAAATTTACACCTGCTAACTAAAATTTACGCAAATATGAATTGAAGACAATAATTTTACGAATAAAACGACACACACACACACATTGAGACACACGCACACAGCCAATGAAAACGAAGAAAATGCGTCGTCCATGCTTCTCACCAGGTGTGCACGTCAATTAATGCTCTTCATTCGGAGTCCAACATTTGTTAAATCATCATAATAATTCTTCATCTACGTCCTTCATTAACATCCATGAGCCTTTCATTATTATTATTATTCATCAGTCATTAATATTCCTGAATCAGTCATTAATATTCCTGAATCAGTCATTAATATTCCTGAATCAGTCATTAATATTCATGAATCAGTCATTATTATTCATGATTAGTCGTTAACATCCACGAACTTTCATTAATATTCCGGCAAGATCACCGCGACGAAAATTCATTATTATTCATTGACACGTCTGGCAGACAGGTAGGACACCTGTATTTATATGTATCGTCACTCTATCATCACTATATAAATCATTACTATATATATCATCACTCTCTATATCATCACTATATATCACAATATATCACTATATATATAAATAAATATCATCTAACATTGCTGTGTATATTATTATTACGACGTGTCGGAGTCATGTGATGTGTGAGAAAGAGTGAGTGAGTGAGTGAGTGAGTGAGTGAGTGAGTGAGTGAGTGAGTGAGTGAGTGAGTGAATGAATGAACGAATGAATGAATGAAAAATGGTTGCCAGGCAGGCAGGCGGGAATGCAATAATAACAGTCATTCCATTTATTAATATGCACCACACAGATAGGTGGCGGTTCGTGCTTGCGGTGAGTATGCACGGAGTGAGAGAGTGATAAGGGAGTGTAAGAGTGAAGCAAAGAATGAAACAAATGAAAGGATGAATGAATGTTAAAACAAAGGTGTGAGAAAATAAAGAAATGTGATGAACAAGTGAGCTTGCCCTGGAGATGATTTCGTTGATGTTGATGGAAAGAACGACGATGATGCTGATGATGTCAACCAGAATGATTAATTCACATATGATGAGGATTATGATGCAATGCAATGCTATGATTGATAATCACTATGGTACAAATGATAACTATGACTATGACGACGATAAAAATTGATTTGCGGTTAGTTTGACGACTACATATTGCTGGTGATCAATTCATTAAGATGCTGTCGACAGATGTGATGATGCCTATGTTTAATTTACCAACAAAAATAACACTGAATATGACAGCAGCATATGAAAATGTGGTCAGAATTTTAGTGCCTGGCAAACGTCCATTGTTTAGTGCTTCGGTTTTTAACGACCGTTTTAGCATTAAAATAATATCTCCATCTAATAA